ACTAATCTAAAAGAAGGTTTTTTCGTGATTTTTTTTTTTTTTTTTTTTTGATTTGAAAGAAATGGGTTTCCTTAAAATTTTTTAAGAAATAAAAATGTATGCGCAGTATATATTATCACATGTAAAACCTTATTCTTAATGCAAACAATTAGTACGTTATTTTAAATTCTGAAGGATATATTTTCCAAAAAACGACAGTGGTCTATATTTTTGCTTCTATTTCTTTTTTCACTTCAAATTGTTACAAAGAAAAATAAATTTTAGCAAAAAGAGAAGTTTTTTTTTTCTATTTCTTTTTTCACTTCAAACTGTTACAAAGAAAAATAAATTATTTTAGCAAAAAGAGAAGAATATATTCGAAGAAGAAGAAGAAGAAGAAGAAGAAGAAGAAGAAGAAGAAGAAGAAGAAGAAGAAGAAGAAGAAGAAGAAGAAGAAGAAGAAGAAGAAGAAGAAGAAGAAGAAGAAGAAGAAGAAGAAGAAGAAGAAGAAGAAGAAGAAGAAGAAGAAGAAGAAGAAGAAGAAGAAGAAGAAGAAGAAGAAGAAGAAGAAGAAGAAGAAGAAGAAGAAGAAGAAGAAGAAGAAGAAGAAATTATATACTTATTGCAACCGGTGAAGTTGGCACCTTTGACACATTGGCCTCTCCATTTAGCTGGGGCAGGCCCATAACCTTCATCACTAAAACTAGGACAATCCATCCAAATTCCTGAACACATTCACAAATAAAATGTAACGCATTTTTCATGGGTATGAATGAAAGTCGCATCGTATAAATAACTAACTAGCTATGATATATCACATTCAATCACAAATGTGTTTGGTATTAATTTTTCGTCAACCTACACCAGTACTTGAGAATTGGTTCAAATATTTAGGTTTGTGAATATGTATGTGTGTTCACAAGAATTCGAACCTTAGCGGTTTTAATTCTTATATAAAGTGAAAACTATAAATTAACCCCACACCATATAAAAAATAATAATAAAGTACAATAAAATTCACCTACCTGAATCCAACACACCCACTATAATGTTGCTTTCTGTACTTAGGTTCCTTTTCTTTGTCGTTTCGGACAACCCTAGGAAATCCCATGATCTTGTCGTGTGAAGTTGGCGCCTTGTGCTTGGAAACACAGATATAACACCATGTTCATCTGCAATTCATTCAATATATATGCTGATCTTTAAGATCAAAATTTTCTTATAATAATTAGTCTAAAATAATCACTGGTAATTTGGGTTCAACTTTGTTTATTTTATCTCTCTGTACCGGATAGTCTTTTCACTTCGTCTGGCAACAACTTAGCTGCAAATCCATTGAAGCTCTTTCCATAACTATGAATTTTGGATTCTCTAGCTAATTTCTGACTGTGACAAAAAAAGAAAGAAGCAAAAATTAAAGGGTAAATTAGAAAATTGTGAGATTAATTAATGCTATTTTTAGGACATAATTAAATGTTACTTATAGAAGTTATTGGTAGAGAATTACTCTCCAATTGCTGATGAAAGCAGGTTATTGTGGCTTTGAATTAGTGAAGTGATCTGAGCTCCGGCCTGAAGTTCTCCCATGTACACAATATAGGACTGTATAGTTCGTCATAGCCCAATACCACAAAATTTGTTAATCACCATTAATATCCAGCAAAAACAAAAAAAAAAAAATTAAAAAAATAAATAAGTTGAAGAAATGTTCCATATATAAGTTGGTTAAAATATGAATATATAGTAGTTAATAATATTAATGCTTCTTATACAAGCAATGCAGGGTTAAAAAAAAATTATGGGATAGTAATTAAAATACCAATATTTTCTTGGACGTACCTTTCTTTCATGGTTATTTGATCCATGAACTAACGTAGCTAGGAAGCAAATATTGAAGGTAAAAACTAGTACATTAATTAGTAACGTCCTCATTTTTTTTATGCTCTCTCTAAAAGATTTTTATGCTTTGTGTTCTTCACTAAATAGAGACATAGAAGAAGAGAACTTCATAATTAATTTCTTAGTGTTCCTTAAAATTTATAAGTGATATAAATGTACGCATCTCTCTCTCTCTCTATGCGCAAAGTACGATGATGAGAGTGAAAGTAGCTAGAATTAAGTTTTTGACCGAGAAATGAGAGTAATAGGTATACAATTTAGTCTTGGTTCCGGTTGAGGGTGAGAGTTTAGTGGCTTGGGATTTGGATCTAATAATTATTAATGTAATTACGTACCCAGGAAGATCCAATGTTGTGGTAGGATTTGAAATTTAAACATTAATTATTGCATAATGATTTGTTTATTTATATGAAATTTCCAAGTGTCATGTAGATGGAATTCGGACAATCCCACACATCCACATGTACACTTGCGAGGTTTCCTATTATGTCCTAGTCTCCCGGAATATTATAAGAAATGAAATTTAATAATTGTTTAGTACTAATTATAATAAATAATTATTGTCTTCTCTTAAACAAAAAATAAAAATGAGAAATATTCTTGGGCAGGAATAGGAGAAAAAAAAAACCCTACCATCGATATTGTGTTGCCTTTTGAATCTTCAAATTTCCATTCGGTTTCATTAATTTTGTCTACTTTTTTATCTTAATATGATTTCGATGTAATTTGTCTGTCCAAAACTATGTTGAAGAGTTCAATCAAATGATGAAAAAGAGGGTGAAAAAAATAAATATTAAAAAGGTGGTTGCGTACTAAGCCTAACAATTCTTCTTCTTACATCCATAGATTAAAAAAAAAAAGAAAAAAAGCTATATGCTCTTGCCAATGATGTTTGAATCATGTTAATTCTGTAATTGAGAGGCTTAGGAAACAAAAATTATATGTCATTGACGGTGAAAATTTGTCAACTCGAATGAACTATTTCCAAAGAATAATTACGCACAAATTGATGAATAATAAATGTAAAAATAAGAGAACACAGTATTTATAGAGGTACGACTATCTTCTTTAGAGCTCTCAATTATTCACTATGTGCTCAAAAGTACAAGAACAGTTGTAGAATTCTCTAAGACTATCTCGAATGCAAATATTAATGCCGATTGTATATTTACTATCAAAAAGTGTGATATGATATGTTATTTTCATTTTTACTCAAATACATAATGTTATTGAAATGCTAAATCTATTTTCTTACATGATTATTAAGTTTTGAAACTTATAAAAGTAAACTTTTCTGTTTAAAATAATTAGAAAATGTAAAAGTTGCAATGATTACATGAAAAAGTAAACATTTCAACCAATAACAAACAAATGTCAAATTTCTCATATGCTATACTTAGTGGAAAATTTACAACAAAACATAGCATATGAAAAATTTGACACAACAAATAGCGTTGGAGTGGAGAGTATTTTTTTACTCTCAAATGTTAAATTTGTAATTGGCATATCAATTATAGTATTGCATTGGAGATGCTTTAAAGGGCTAAACTTGTGCATAAAAATTAAATGAGGGATCTTATCCTCTATTTATAGATCTCCAATCCTTTCCAGATTGGGATCTTCGGTTTATCTCTTTCTTTAAAGAATCTCAGTATAATCTCTTTCTTCTCGTAAGGATTTATCTTTCCTATCATATTTCAAATTCATATTTGAATCTGATACATTTATCTTCTTAGAATATCTTCTCCAATATTTGAATTTTATAAGTTCTCGCCATCTGCAATCTGCAGACGTGAACTTGAATGGAATCCCCGATGCCTCAAGCACGTGGTCGAGGCCTGGGGATACCTCGTCCACAAGTCGAGGCTTTCAGCGGCCTCTTCCAGGCATATCATATATGCAAAGCTTTGGAGGATCTACATGAATATTTTTCTAAAAATAGATTACCTATTAGAAATATTACAATGTTTTTAAATTTCACATTCTGAAACCTGTTTTTTTTTTTCCACCTTTTTAAACACAAAAAAAAAAAAAAATAATGCATGCATGGATCTGAATTTTTATCATTCATTATTGATTAATATCCTTTTGCTAGTATAATTATTTAGCTTAAAAAGTTATTAATCAATAATAAGTAGTATAAAGGCAAAAAAAAAAAATAATAATGCATGCATGGATCTGAATTTTTATCATTCATTCTTGATTAATATCCTTTTGCTAGTATAATTATTTAGCTTAAAAAGTTATTAATCAATAATAAGTAGTATAAAGATATTTGTCTCCTTTCTCCTTCTAACATAATTGGCGTGCACATAATTCTCAACAAAAAAAAAATCAATAATTAACTTGCATTCCTAACAAATGGCTACAAATTGTACAAGATAATTCTTCGAAAAAGAATATACAAGATAATCTTCGAAAAAGAATATACAAGATAATCAATCATTCACTACGTGAAAGTGACATAACATGATACGACAAACATTGCCAACATTTTTCTTATGTTTATCACTCTTGCATGGATTATTTGATGATTTATCATAAGATGATAACTGCAAATGGGCCAAAATATTGTTTCTTTTTTTAGATAAAAACATGATTTGTTATGGAAGTCCATTATTTATGATATTCTAAATAATCGTTATAGTCTATTTCTTTTTATTAATTCAATAGTATGATTGTTTATTTTTTAATGTAGTGACATAAATAATATTTTTTACCTTGAGTGGTATTGGCCTCGTTCATTTCACCGATTTGAGTTTTCAGTTTTAGATTTCTACAGTAAAAAGCTCTCAGAAAATGTCACATCTAACGTTTTCTATTACAGTGAAAAGCTCTCAGAAAATGTCACATCTCAACTTAAATTGAAAACTCGAATTCGCGAAGTGAATGAGATCTGAGTTTTTCCCGTATTATTCTATTTGTTCCGAGTTAATTCTAGCCCATCTAGTACACTCCTTCATTGCCAAGTGTGAAA